GGCACTGATGTTGCTGCGCTTGCGGTTGAAGTTTGATTTTCTGGTCCATTGTAATCTCCTGGGGTCTCTGAATGTTCTTCTGGTGTCGTTATTATAGTTTTTGTTAAGGTTTTGCTCACTGTAATTAACTGTTTTGTATTGTTTGCCTTTGTTTTTGGAGTCTGCACTGATGCTGCTTCAAATCCGATGCCATTTACAGCAAAGGCGACTGTTATCGCAAGCAAGGCTTTGAAGAATATCATTGCTTGATCAGATCTTGGATACTTCTTTTAGTTTTCCGCCAGTTTATATAGCCGTTTCTAATGTGTGGGTGTCATATCTGTGTGCTGTTGCAGACAGCACCTCTTAAAGATATCTGCGCTTTTACACTTTCAGATTCCTTAAGAATATGTTTTGATGAATTTTTAAATCATTTAAACTGAATACCTTAGGCTTACTTTTTTCTCTTTTTCACTCATATTTTTAACCCTATATTTACTTTGTATTCTGAAATTTTGGCACATTTTGCAGATATTATTCTTTTTAATCCTTAGGTAAGTTTCTGCCGTTTTAAACGCCCACATTTTGGGTGTGTTGGAGGCCTCTTCAGGTACTTTGTTTTTTGCCGCGTGTGTGAATTGTACTAATCTCACTAGGGTATTACAGCGCATTTCAAGTGTGCTTACACGTCACCATTGCGTATTGCAGACCCGATATGATAACTTCATATACAGTTTCAAATACGTTGAGTTACTCGAATCCATGCTAGAGTAAAAGATATTCACATGGGTTATTATCAGCACTAAGCCACTCCGATGTTAGCAAGTGTATCACCGATCTCATCAATCAGTAGAACAGTTCTGAAATAAATGCAGGATTCAATGAACTCATTTTCTAAACAAAATAAAAAAATCATCAACTCTTTATTAACTCTGGATGTGTTTTGAATCTGTTTTTTTTTAATTTTTTAATACGCTTTAATTGTTTAAAACTGAAGCAAATTGATTTACTGGAAATGTAATCATGCACATTTTTCTGCGGGATCGATTGTACTAGTCAAAATCCCCTCCTATTATCAGAATAAAATTGTGCTCTTCACAACAGTCTTGACACCATTGCCAGCTCTTTCTCCATGGTTCCGTAATTCGAGATGCTTCCCACAGCAGATGAGTACCATGGTGATTTTCTGTCTTCTATATGATGAGATAAGTGTGCGCTTTCTCATTGCGTATTGAGTACCGTTGTAGACTAAACCCATATCTTAAGTATGCCACAATAGAATCTCAGGAATCTGCAAGATCATTGTCACACTACAAATTTACTTGATAGCACTACTGTGAAAAACCGGACACCAACGCGGAAACAAAATCGTGCACATGCGTAGTCTTTGACAGTCTGACCAATCAATAATAGATGTCTTTGTCTCCAGTAGAAATTATAGAGTAAATACCGAAACTTCTGTTTGTCTGTCTGTTTTATACATAGCACTACTTTAATGAACGCTATTAAAGGTGAGGAAAAAGCCACTAAAATAGGCCTTGCCTG